TTACAATATTTTATAATTTTTAAAAAAAATAAAGGAGGTGCATTTATAAAAATTCTCATATATATACACCTCCTTTATTTTTTAAGTACATCTCCTTTATTTTTTTTAAATTATAAAATATTATAGTTTTTTTTAATTTTCTAATTTACACTTTCAATTTTTAATTTGCTACTTTCTTCTTCTTTTTTACACACTTTTTTTTTCTCTTTTAGTTTTCACATACTACCAAAATAGGTGGGGTGAAGGAAAGGTAAGAGAGTGCATGTAAAAATTGAAGAAAAAAAAGAGAAAGATGTGTGAAAAATAAGTACTAAATTAAATGTTGTAAATGTAAAATTAAAAATTAAAAATTAAAAATATTTTAAAATTTTAATTATTTTTTTAAAAAAGGAGGTGTACTTATAAAAAAAAAAAAAAAAGTATATATCATGAACCAAAGTTCACTTATAAAAAACTTCACAAGGCCAAAAAGCCCACAGAGATCTTAGGACTAGGAATAGGATAGTCCATGGGCCATTTTTTTATATAAAAATAATAAATTAACTATTAAAAATTATCATAATCCATTATATAAACTAACTTACACGATGCACTACTTAGTTTATTCTATATACCAACTTCCAATTTTAAAGATAAAAGCATTAACTAGCTTGAAATAGACATTAATTAATTAATAATTATATTCAAAATTGTTCAAGGACTAAAATTGTGCAATTAACTATCATAATTTACACAAGTTAAACATAGTTGTGCCATGATCTTGAATATCAATTAGTTATATTATTTTAAATAATAAGTATAATTTTTAAATTTTTGTAAAATTGCATTACATTTGATAATTTGTAAAACAAGTTTAACTTTTTTATATATTAGTCTAAAAACTTTATACCACCAATTAAAAAATGTTTTAAATACTAAATACGATTTTTAAAGTAATTATTATAAAAATAAATAATTTTATCATAAATTATAATATATGATTTGATGAAAATATATGGAAAAAACTTATTTAAATTCTTGTAAAATTGTATTGCATTTCAAAACCTTATATTTTATTTTAAGTGATTAATTTTATTAAGACATATTCTTTCATGTACTATCATATAAATATTATTTATTTCATATAAAAAATGATTTAAATTAAAATTAATAATATATCAATTTATTATCTATATATGAAATAAAATAAATATAATAATGCTAAAATCAATTTTTTTTGACTTTTTGGTGTTTTAAAAATAAAATAAACAAAATTTTATCTAATGAAATCAAATAAAAATATCTAAATGAAGCATATTTTGAGAATTAAAATAAAAAGTGCATAAACATGAAAAATTAAATTGGAAATTATGTCAAAAAGGTAAAAGTCATTGGTTTATGTTGTTGTTCCTGTCGCACGAGGAAAGAAAAAGTTCAATGTTTGGTGATGCATTAAGAGATTGATTTAATTAACTTGCACAATGATTGGAGTAAAATCACTATTGAATATTGAATTAGTGTTTAACTTGATTTAATGATTGGTTCAATTTTGAAAATATTGTAAAAAGTCATATAAATCTATACTTGAAAAATTATATAACTTCATACAATATTTATAAAATTAAAAAAAAAAAAGAGTTAGCAAGAGTTTTTTTTTTATATAAATAATGTGACAAGTGGAGGGTCAAGCCCCTTGAGACCTTAACCTTGGCTCTCTTTTATTTGGAGTTGTGTGGATTGAGAACTTTAAGTCCCTCCATTAAGTGAAACTAAAATAAATAGGACTTTTATAGAAGGAATCATTGGAGTATGGACTAACTCCAAAACCATAGGTACACCTCTGATTAGGATGAATTTTATGTTAAGATTTGTTGGAGAGTAGGGTGGGCCAATCTAGTAAATTTTGGCGAGATAAGTGGGTTGTGGCCCATTCATTGGTGGAAGACACTTGGAATATCCACTGCGAGATTGATAAAATAGTGGCAAATTATATTGATACTAATGGTCAACGGGAATTCTTCCATAGACTCACATCAGTAAAATTGTTGCAACTATGCCACGAATGGAAGGAAATGGGATTGACCTAGTCCTTGATGTGTGATGGAATACGTGGTTTTTTATGGATATTAATTAAGTCATAGAGGTATTGTTACTAATGACAAAAGGCATTGTTTGGGGTTAGCTTCTTCAAATCTCTGTGGTGTATATATGTGAATCTCTGGTGGAGGTGGTTTGGCATATTTTTTCGGATTGTCAATCTAGTAGAGCTGTTTGGGGTTTGTTCATCCAAGGGGTGTGGGTATGGAATTCTTCTTTGATAATGATTGGCACATTGGCTTTTGATTAATTTAGTGAATCATGATATCATAAATAGTTTGTATTGGAGTGCCACTTTTGGAGTTAATTTGTACGTGATTTGGTTGAAAATAAATGAATTTATCTTCAATAATGCAACTTGGTCGATGGAAGAAGTGACGAACTACTCAGCTCAAATGATGTTATTAATTTAGCTTGAGAAAGGGGTTTTTGAATTATCAAATATATTTAGATTCATTAACTGCTATTAGTCGTCATCCTTGTAAGAGTTTGATCAAAGCTATTCATGAAATTTATAGGAATAAAGGTTAAAGGCCATGTTTATTGGTTCGTGCTAAGAAGGGAGTCTTATCGGGTGGGTGATCTCATGACTAATTATAGGAGTCATCTTTTTAATCACTTTCAGGTTTTTATCGTTCTTAATCTTATTTCTTATTCTATAGAAGATGTCATGTGACTCTGTAAAGTAAAGATTGTATTTCAAACGACAGCAGAATTGCAATTGTTAATTAAAAATATATTCATACATAATATTTTTTAATTAATAATTAAGATTGTAATAAATACATGTATACACATAATAAGTAAAAAGTATTAAAATATCAAGTGTTCATTTTAATTAATAATTATAATTTGACTTTATCATTTAAAATGCAGTCCTCACTTTATCATCTATATTTGCTTACCGGACAGGCCTATGTGTATGTTGCCTGTTCTTTGAAGAGAGATACCTTTGTACCCAAGGCCCAAATTTGGGTGGCCCATTTTCATACTGTGGATTATGGATGATGTATTTTGATTGCCAAATTGGGTAAGGCCCAACACTTCCTGTAAACGGAGAAAAAAAAATGGCTCATGATCTATACATTTTTTTTTAATGAGTAGACCCCCTTTATTTTTTTATTTTTTTTAAAATATTCTTAACTATTTTATTTTTTAATTCTATACATCTAATTTTTAATTTTGGACTTTTTTTCTTCTTTTCTACACACTTTCTTCTTTATTACTTTCAGTTTTCATATGCATTCTTCTATCTTCCTCCATTTCTCTTTATTTCAATAGTTAGTTTTAATTTTCTCAAATTTTAAATCACTCTCTTTCTCCCTCGCCTCTTTTGGAAAGGGAGTAAGAAAAAATTAAAGGGATGCATGTGAAAACTAAAAAGAGTATGGAAGGAGGTGTATGAAAAGAAGAAGAAAATGTTAAATTGAATATTGGAAGTGTAAAATTAAAAAATTAAAGATAATTTAAGTTTTTTTTTTAAAAAAAAGAGATGTGCTTTAAAAAAAAGAGTATATATCATGAGTAAAAAAAGTATTTATGATTTATTTTGACAAAAAAAAAAGTGGTTTAAGAAATTTGCGAGTTCATCGTTAATGATTGAGAAACCAAACTTGATATTGTTTTTACTTTTTAGAGGTGGCAGAATATGTGTTTGGCTAATTCAGCCAGCCTAAAGTCATCCAATAAAATATAGAGTTTAGACAATTATTATTTACAGCATATTTTATTTTATTTTTATCAATACATTTATTTTGTTTCTTCATGTTTTTATAATTGTCCTTTTGTTGGGAAATTAATTTCCGATAATTTCCCGTAGGCAAAGCTGTCCTCTTTTTTCCTCCCTCTCCTTCATATTTGTGGACTTTGTTGTATAACAAGCTTCCAACCGTCAAACTTAAATCTAATAAATTAAATAATTTACTTTAGTAAATAATTTTTGAAATAATTTATTTTAAGTAAATAATTATTTTAATATATTCTGGCAAAAAGCCCTAATCAACACCGTCACAAATGAGTGAGACTATGCCTTCCCTGCTGCATTTTCAACATGGCCAAACCTACTTTGTAGAGGAAATAATATTAAATCCATTAAAGTGAAAGAAGGCGATTTCATCATTACCTTGTTCTAGCTTTCTCTTTATCTTTGTGATTGAAAATTTAGGAGAGGAGGGGAGGGAAATCCCAAGCCCAAATCATTGTTGAGACCCGGGCAGTTAGTGAAATGATGATGCGTGTAAGGTTTTAGGATGCTGATATATACCTCATCTCTACCTAAAAGATGAAAACAAAAGCTGACATTTTAACTCTCAAACACAGGCAAGAAAAAGAAGGATAAAACGAATCAAACTTTTCCCATGCCACTTCACATCTTGTGTGTAGTTAAATAGTATTATATATGAGAGAAACTGCCGGAGTTGTCAGAATTTTGGTCAAACTCTCAACCCCATGTGCATTCTTTATTCATTCAATAAATAATTCAACACACTTGATTCCATCTTAATTTCATCTGTATGCTGTCCATTTTAAAATACTGCGCAGATGATGTTGATAAAACAAAACAAAAACTTATATATATATCGCTCAAACAATTCAACTTAACAAGCACAAAATTTCAAACATTATCTTAATGCCTAATGTTTCCGCATATGAAATATAGGTGCAAAAACAAGTGTCCCTGAAATGATTACACACATGCTTTGGTGCTCAGGACCAACCGAAATGGAAAAGCTTTAGGATAACCCACGAAGTAGGGCCATGCCAAGTTGAGTTTGTGTTCATGTTCATCCATGACCTCCAAAGAGTGCATTTTCTCACATATTTAAATGTGTTTTTTTTTTTTTTTTTTTTTTTTTTTTTTTTTTTTTTATAAGAAACAAACTGAACACTTGGCATTGAAACACCAAAAGAATCTCAATATCACATATTATGGTGATCACGACCTATCTATGATTACATACAGCCATACACGTCCTTGTCACAGTTCCCATCTAGCCCCTCATAAAATTTGTCTCCATTTCAAATGCTGCATCACTCCCACCCTGTATTTTCATTATCCCACATGCACCACATTGGCGTGTTCAAAATTTCTTTTACCATCATCACCATTCATATCTCTTAGTGAAATGCTAGCAAAAAAAACCAATGTGTCCCATGAGACCTCCCCACAAAAGGTTCAAGTTCAACTCGTCCCAAAATCTGTGTCCGATAGGTTGCTAGAGAAGTTCTATGATGAGTCACAGTTCGATTTTGACTATGAGCAAAGTGGTTTATGGTCTCCTCCGGTTCCACGCACAGTGTTCTTGAGCTCCCCGGGAAGAATATTCACTGAGCAAGAAATGCTTGAAAGACTCAGAAGCAAAAATTCACCAAGACATCGCAAAAAGTTCAGAGTTTGTTTCGGTGTATAATGATTCATTCTTCTTAGTTCTTTCCCTGTTCCATTGGTTCCAACCATGGTACATATCAATTTCCTCTGCTTTTTTCCTTATTTGCACTGAAAAATTATATGCCTTATTCTTTTTGCAGGTGTTCTGTTGTGCCTGACAGTGAATGTAAACAAAGTGCGAAGATTTTGTTGCACTGTTTCTTGTTTAGAATACAAAGGGAATCCAAAACTTCCCTATGATTGTTTTATCATATTCACAGGAATTTATTTACGTGTATTTTCTTTTCTTTTTCTCTAGCCAAAAGTGATGTATATGTGAATTTATATATTTTAAGAAAACATATATAGTGTATCAATTTGTTATCCATTATTTTCAGATGAGATACCTGCAGTACCTTTGGGTCCCTTTGCCGTCTCTAATGTCTATATTGTTCATCATTGATTAAGATGCAAATAGCCACATGTTGATGTAGGGTTGTTGGGTCTACCCAATTTCCCTTCTCTGTTACACACTGTTTTAAAACCCGTTCGGAAACTTTTTTTTGAAAACCATGCACCCATATAGAAATGACAAACTTTAGTCAGTGTCCAACACATGATTACGAAAATAAAAATACCCTTTATTATTAAAAACTATTAATAGTAATATACTGTCCTGTTTTGATTTTTAATACTAAAAGACACTAGCTAGTTAACTACCAACATACTGTAAAAAAGATAAGAAAAACATCTGCACATTATCTTTATTATGCTAGCATAATGGGCCCATGTGTCATTTTTATCCAAAAACATTTCAAAAATGCAAATGGCTTTCAGACTTACATAACCAAAATAGGGCAAAACTCACGTATATATCACATGTTATTCTTTAATTGAAGTTAGAGTTTTACTTCGATAAGATTCGTAAATGTATATTAATGAAATTTACATTAAATATACTTATATAATATTAATATAAAATTTTGACTGTATTTAAAAGACAACACCAATTATATTTAAGGAACTACACTTAAATTTTATTCAATTCAATATAACAAGGTAAACGAGATTAGATAGGTTACGTAAATAATAATTTTTAGATTAAATTAAGACTGGGTACATTTAGGATAAGATTATGTTAACTCAAAACATGAAATATAAATTTTCATTCTTATTAATGTAATTGAAATTTTACGAATAATTTATATCAAATTATTATACATAATAATATAAAAATTAAATGATAAGTACTTAACCTAGAAAAAAAAAGTACTTCTATTAGTACTAGTGAAAAAACACCTTTATCCCTATATTTATTTTAAAAATAAAATAAAAAATAATAAAATAGATGATTGGTAACTAAATGATGAGTAATTTGTTGGTTATCAAAAATTTTATTGTCAATATATAATAATATAAATAAAAGAAGTTAGTATATGAGTGTTTTTTTTTTTGGCAAAACACAAAATAAAATGCAAGATATAACTATGACAAATATAATTAAAGTTGAGTAAAGCTGATCTTCATATTGCTTAGGATAGAAGAATCTTGACCTTAATCTGCGAAACTGATTCAAAGTTGGTTGTACAACTCATTCATTATAAAGACGTTCCGTTCCACCTCATACTACTATCTTAAGGAAGATTCAATCTTTTCAAGAGTTAGATTGAGAAATTACGTTTCAGCATGTATATAAAAAAAACTAATATGTGTGCTAATAGACTTGTAAAGGGGAGTTTCTCTTCTCATACTGTAATTAAATTATTTGATTCTTTCCTTGCAATTATTTCACCATTAACTTTAACTGATGTTTCAATTTAACTTACTTGGGCCAGATTTATTTTCTGATTTTGTTTTCTTTTCTTTCCTATTCATAAAAAAAAAAGTTGAGTAAATTACTGGTTGAGTTGGACTATATATGACTCTATCTTATTTTTAAATTTTGATTGAACTAATTTTTAGAGTCTAACTCGTCTCTAAACCTAGATGAATCCGATAATATGAGGGTTATACACGTTTGAGTTGGATTTTGCACGGTCTTACTATATGAACATAATGCTTTTAATTTCTTAAAATCATTTTTTTTCCACTTACAAATATACTGCGATCAAAGATGACTTTTGTGTCATTTCCACATCTTTCCGAAGACAAACGACTTGAAAATTGAAATAGCTAGTGGAGCACGGACTTAAAATTTTATGCCTGCGTCGTAAAATGCTTATAAGCCAGACCTGTGTAAATTATTAGTGAAAGAAAAATGCGAGAAATGTAGATTTGCTAATGTTAGTAATTAGTAAGTTAACGTCCTTCTCTCTTCTTTATATAATTAAATCTTTATACACCCAACCTCTTACCTTTAGTAAATAATGATACACCATTCGTCTGTTACATTTCTATTAATTATTGAATGAAAATTTTAAAATAAGAGACTTAATTTTGAACGATCAAAAGACTTTATGAACTAAATTCAAGCAACTAAGTTAAGGAGATTCAAATCACACATAGGTTAAAGTATGAAGACTAAAAATATATTTAAATGTAACATGTTTTATGTTTTTCATGACACTGAATAAATTTCTAAGATGGATAAATAGTATACAGACATCGTACAGTCAAAACAACGTAACTTTGAAAGTGTGGTGTGGGGATTTTGGTAATAATAATAATAATTTACGGTTAGGGTTCTCAAACACCACGCATGTCTTCTTGTAATTCTCATTCCTCTTGTCTAGAAGGAGATGTAAACCTAAACTGTAACAGGAAAACGATAATTCTATCTTCTTACTGTTTGAATATAAAAATTATTTTCCAATTTGCTACAACAAGTGAGGAAAAGGACCCATGTTTGGAGACAGAATATACATGGATCTTATAAGGTAAAGGTATATCTAACTTGGTTTAAAAGGTATCACAGATTTTTGTCAACTTTATATCTCTTTTGATCACAGACTGTATAGCTCTCAACGTACTAACATCTGCAATATTCATAGCACAAATGCACGACATGCCAAACACTAAACAGAAACAGGATTTTGTTGGAGAGCTTCCTTCCCTGTAATGCCTTCTCCTAAATTTTTAAAGTATATGTCATAGTCCTTTTCTGGAGGAGGGTTTGCTGGATCCACAGTAAATGGCTCACTAAATGGAATGACACTTTTGACCTGCAATAAGTATTACAGATTGTGTTGCTTGCGAAATAGAGTGAGATTGTCTAGAATCAAATAAATACTAGATCCATGGTGGCAGGAAAAACAGTTTATAAAAACTAAAAAAGCAGTTGGGCCATATAAAAACCAAAAATGCACTATGATTGGGGTATTTCTGAATAGAAGCAGCAGCAGCATACTCAATTAAAAGGCTAATAACACTATTCTGGCCAGAGCCTGCATGTAGCGGGCTTCTCCCCTTCAAAAAGGAGGTCCCCCATTTAAGTGAAGTTCACATTACATTTAGAAAACGTAAAAATACTAAACGAATTATGATAAATATGAACATGATAAAAGAAAAGGCTGACCTCAAATGTTTTGTCACATACATAAGGGCTATCAAGTGCCGCTACACAAATGCGAGCAATCTCTTCCCTTGATATTTTACCCTGTTAAGTTTTGAATTAGATTGGCATTTGGCAAAATAAGCAAAATGCTACTATATATCATGAGATAGACGGTTTAGTAAGAACATTTGGACCAAGAAAAACATCCACATTTTGTTTTCATGATACCGTGATATTATCTCCTTGATCAAAAATAAGATCGGCACCAGCAGGCTCCTCAGTTAATGCACATGGCCTCACAATCACATAGGGAATGCCACTTTCTCTAAGTAAATCTTCGCCCTGTTTCAACACAAACCTGTTAGCAAATGAACAAGATGTGACACGGAAATGGGAATTCCACAATTAAAGAGGTCATGGTAAGCAATAAAGACGTTCCTTGGGACACTATGTGGAGAAGGAGTATTCCTCTTCTTCCGTGAACTTGAGTGACAAAGGGAAAAAAAATCATAGTCTAACAGCTATGCTAAAATTATAGAAAAATTCCAATGGTTGACCATTGACATAAATTATAAGTAGTGGGGGAAATAGATAAGATAAACTAGACTACATAACCCCTAAAAGCCTTTTTTTTTTCCTCGTTCAATCCAAAAAGATCCACGTTGAATAGAAGCTGTTATAACTTACAAACAGTTTTTATGTATTAGAAGTGGTGAGAGTACTTGAACCACGTTATTTTGTGACATATTTGGATAAGTTCCTTCAAAAGAACTTTTAAGAGAATAAAATTAAAATAAATTTTTTCATAAATTAAAACTAATTTTTTTTTGGTGTTGAAATTAAAACTAATTTATGTACAAGTGAAAAATAAAATTTTGGAAAAACTAGTAAAAAAAGCTTTTACAAATTAATTCTTGTTTAAACTAATTTTAGCTTCTATAATATGCTAAACCAAATTGGAACAGTGAACTCATGTCAGAATCAGAAGTCTTAACCAACAAAAACAGTTTTGCAGACCAAAGTGACCTTGATAGACACAAACGGAGACCTGGAAATTTTGTATTATATCTGTGCTAAACAAGGAACCCTCACCATATTTTTACCTTTAGTTTAAATGTGAGGATATACTCCAGTTCCTTGTTTAATCGAACGGCAGGAGGCTGTTTACTAAGATCAAGTCCAGGCCTTTCAGGTCTGGTAACTCCTGCTGAGCTCACATGTACAAACCTAGATGTGACACAAAAAGTTGTACAACAAAAGATTAAGCATTATATCGGGGAAAAAAGGAGGAGGAAAGACAACCAAAAAGATAAGTCTACCTAGGCACAATTGGATCCTTTATATATGCCCGTATAGTAGATACTGGAAGCTCAAATGGACCCTCCACAAAAGTTTCATTTAATTTACCATCATACTCAAACTTGCTGAACATGAGCTGCAGAAATTTTGCTTCATTAAGAACAAATGTGAGATTTCTAAGGTAAAAGATCTAAAAGAAATATTAACAGAGCCATGCCTGTAATGATATAACAATGCTTGGATCAAACGGTGGAGCATCAGTCATGGTTCTTGCTCGAAATACAGGCCTCAAGGAAGAAAATGGCACTCGAATCTATGAAAGACAAAAGAACAAAACACTTGAGAGTCGGTATCTGATAATCTAGATTGCAACTATTGCTATTTGCTATAGATGATAACTACCGATTGCCATTTGCCTTTCTCAGTGACAAAGCTTGCAGTGTAACCAACAGTGTCCCAATCACTGCTCGTGCGAACAATGAGTTTATATCTACGCCCATCACCTTTTAGACGGAACTCCAAACCATCATATGCAGAAAGATTTTCAGGTTCTGAGAAATTCTGAAAACCAATTGTGAAAACTTTGCTTTTGATACAGGAATTTAGTTTCCCTAAGTAATTAGTTAAAGTGAAATCAAAATATTTGATAATCACAGTAATAACAGTTAGTCATAGGACTTGGAAATAATTACAATGAGACACTTCAATTACATGCATACTCACTACATCAAAATGAACAAGAGGATATGATTGTTTCAATCTTCCTAAAGAAATTTCTCAGTTCTAGCAAAAAAGAGGATAGGTAAAGATAAAGCCACTACTGCAATCTTTCCACTAGAAAATGAATCTGACTCTTTTGCTTTCTTTATGCGGTTTATTTATACGTTTATTTAAAATTTCCAGAGCTTCTACTAGATGGCTAAAACATATCCTAGTGAGCACATTAGTTTAAATCTTAAGCTATTAGGTGAAAGCCAATAAATTTTTGATGTCTGACATCCCTATCCATATACCTGGCTGTGGAGATCAAAGAATTAAGCGAGCACATAAGTGAACTGCTCTTGATGTGATGAAATATTAGTAAAAGGATTGCTAAAATTTAATGTTACAGTATAAAAATAGGCAAAACACCTAATTTGGTCCCTTATAATAATTAATAGTTTCAATTTCGTCCCTTTATAATTTTTTTGTTTCAATTTGATCCCCAATAATTTTAAAAAATTTCAATGTGAGACTTTTTGTCCAAATTTCACAAATGGTGTTAAATGTAGATGATGTTGATGCTACGTAGATACACAGGTGACAAGGTCCCATACTCCTTCTTTAATGCACCTGGAACGGGCCGTTCTGAAACCAAAACGGGCCGTTCCAGAACACCAACCAGGATTTATATTTAAATTTAAATTTAAGTGTTACATTAAAGGAGCATTGACTGATGTTTAAATTTAAGTGTTACATCTCAACAAAATGCAGCAATGTGGTTCAAAGATTGAAAACAAAAATTCATAACATAAATTCAAATATTAAAATATGAACCAGAATTGATCTTCTTATCTCTATTTTTCATCATTGCCCATATAAATAATAAATTAGTTAGGCGTACTTTACTGTCTGAGCCGTCACGACTTAGAACAGTAGATGCAATAAACTTATGTATAATTCTAATGGTAGAGTGACGAAATGTAGATGAATTGTATTTACCAGCCTCCCATTGTGTATGACCTGTTACAATCCCCAAAACATGTATGGATTAAATGATCTTGAGTTTTTTTCCCCTATGGTTTGAAATCCAAAGATACCATTGAATTCCTCCAAATTGAGACGACACTCTGTATTAAAAAGTCTAAAGAAAATCAAGAACAATCCTTGGATCTGGAACGGCCCGTTCACAATTTGTCCCGGTCAAAATTTCAATATGGAGAGAACTAAGAAATCAAGAACAATCCTTGGATCTGGAATGGCCCGTTCTAAAACCAGAACGGCCCGTTCTGCTTGCATTCTTTGTGTGTTAACTTTGCATCTGGAACGGGCCATTCCAGATGCAAAGTTAACATACAAAGAATGCAAGCGGAACAGACCGTTTTGGTTTCAGAACGAGCCATTCCAGATCATTAAAGAAGGGGGTGAGGAGGCATGCCACCTATGCATCTACGTGGCATCCACGTCATCACATTTAACACCGTTTGTGAAATTTGGATGGAAAGTCTCACATTGACATTTTTTAAATTATTGGGAACCAAATTGAAATAAAAAATTATAGAAGGACGAAATTGAAACTATTAATTATTATTATAAGGGACCAAATTATGTATTTTTCCGTAAAAATATGTTATTTCACGTTGATCCATAAGATTAAACATTGATTTTAACTTAAATAATTCAACTAGTTGAAAAAATATAGTTCCTGAAAAATAACAAATGCAAAATATTTTATACGCTGATATGCTGTGATCCTCCATTTCATATTTCTCGTTAAGTGATTTCAAGGGGAAAAGTACATTCTTCCTTTCTTAGTGTCGTACTAAATAAATGCTTTCCTTACTTCAAACAAAATGGTTCATTAATATATACATTTCATAAGCACTTAACTGTTAAATTACTAAAAAATGGCAAAAGGGTGATTCATGATTCAAAACCACATTAGAAGGCTGTATCACAATTCAGAACACTTACCTAAAGCTATAATTGAACCAGCACTGCAATGCAGTGTTTATATCCATCCATTAAAATTTAAGAGAACACTAGGAATGAAGACATGGGATATCTTTTATTAAACACATTAAATTGAGGTCAATTTTAGAATTAAAAAAAGATTATGTCAGAGTTGGCTATAACAACATTAATAAAAAATGTGACCTTTTATTTTTACAGTGGTCTAGTATTGAATCAAGTATGTCATTGCCATTTGCCAGGCCACAATAAAAAGTTAGTAAAAATAATTATACATTACCTTAGTTCGGATACTTGTAAAGCCACCATTGTTTGCCGTTGAAACAACGCCTGAACTAGACACAGTTGTATTATTTTGAGCAGCAAAACATCGGGTACAAGTTCCCACAAAAGTGCAGTCACATGCATTCACAAAAATTTATTTATCACATACCTTTAAAAACTCCAGTTGGTCCACCATTTTCAGCTCCACTTGGGTCTATTTGAAAATTACTTTCACTAACTCCCCCCATTACCACGTCATCTAAAGCACCCCAAGGAATCTGCCTGTAATTATTGTCTGCAAGGAAAATAGAGAACAAATTTTATTCACAGGATGCACAGCAGTAAAAGTAAAACACGTTAAATAAAAATCAATTCAGCTTCTACAAGTTTCCTTTTTATTGCGATGCACCTAAGTTATGTTTGGGGCCACTGGGCATGTATATGTCAAGATGTTAGATTGGGAAATTAAGTTGAATCCATAATCACAATCAGTTGTTTTGTCAACTAAGAATCTACCTTCAAATCCAAATAATAGCTTTCCTCCTCGAAGTCCAAGGTTATCCTTCACAGCCTTGATCAAATTTCTCATTCCTATGTACTCTACCTTTTCGGGTGAATCACCTTTTATCTGTTTTCAACAGCCAATAACTAAGAAAAAAAGCCTCAAGAACTTCACAAAATGAGCTCGCAGACCTACTGAACTTCCAAATTAAATAGACAAGAATAAATCTGACTCGGAAGATGATGTCAACAGAAAGCAAAATCAGTAAGCTACCTCTGGCTCAAAGAACTTAATTCCCTGCACCATTAATAATTTAATACTGTTAGAGAGAAATAAATATGAAGCCTTCACTAAATAATCATGGAACTAAAACATCCATTTCTCATTGATACATAAGCATTGATTACTGTGTAAGAAAAATCAAATTTCTACTGTCTTACAGCGTGTTTGAAAAACTGTTTTTTTAACGAAAACGTAAAAACACACTTTTCAAAGCACCAAAATACAAAGCAATTATTTCTATCTTCTCCATTCAAGTACGTTTGTCAAATTTTAACAATAAAACAAACACACACTTAATAAAGTTAATGGACATACTTGGCTGTATTTTGCTCTGTCTGGAGTATCTCCTTCCTTAGGGCCAACAATGACAGAAGCAGCATTAATCACTTTCTTCACACCTTTAAAGTATTCAGGGATCAAAGTGCTATCTTTTGTAATGTCTCCTACAACCTTAGTTTACACATAAAGGTAAGTTGGCAGCAGAGGAACTTAATGGATAAAGATACTATCAATTTATGTAGTACAAAGTTTGCAATCACCGGATAAAAAAAATAAAAATATATAAATAACAGGAAAGTCTGCATTGATGAGCATCATTATCTTCCACCAAAACCTGACACTTTAGCAAATGTTCCACACAAAAATTAGTGAAGAACTTCAAATGGCCAGAAGTCAATTTATTATCTCTTCCTTTCCAAACCATACCCTCCAAACTAACATCAATTTTCCATCATCGCTGGAGGCATTGTATAAGGTCCAATAACAACTCATTGTCAACAAACTGATAACTAGAAATCTAAGTTGCCAAATTTAGTAAAATTCAGATCCAAAAGTAATTTGTAGCAAACTGAGAAACTAGTCAAACTACCACATTTATTTGATCATTTGTAAAGTCTTTCAGTACATCAAATTAAAGAGACTCACCAAATCAACATCTGAGCCTAACATTCTTCTTGCTTTCTCTTCATTTCTAACCTGATAAAAATAGATACAGAAATGTAATATTGTTAAGTGCTAAAGAAAATAATTAATAGACTGAAAATTTCTAAGTTTTTTCCCCTTTTCTTTCTATCAAGAAACTATTATTTGCAGTGAAATCTAGTGAGCAAGGTAAGTTAACAACAATACCAATACTCGGACTGGAATTCCTTTCTTCCGCAATATATCAACCACTCTTCGACCAACGCCACCAGTAGCTCCGGCTACCAGGACCAGATCAGAAGTTCCCATGGAGTTAACCAATTCAGTAGGGGAAGGACTAGATGCGGATAGTTTCTCAACTAGAAAGTCAAAGAACTTCACAATTCAGAAATGAAGAAAACTCATTAGTTGATCTATACCAAACTTTCACCTCTCTCTCTCTCTTTCTTCCTATTACTCTCAAGTTGTACTAGTTTAAAAATGAATGAAGTGTTACCTTAGCAGGAGAAGGGAACCCATTGAAGAAGTACAGTGTTTTCACAAATCTTCCAAAATCCCAATTTTGTCTTCCAGCTTCAGCTGATATGGTCGCTCTATATGATCCAGAAGAGAGTCTGGTTGACGTATAAATCAATGTCTGAGGTCTACCATATATCTGAAGAAATGGTTTAGGCAGCGTAGGTGATGCCAAAATAGTGTGTGAAAATTTCTTACTAAACTTGCTTCTAGTCAATTCAGGGCCCTGCAGTATGAATTTAAAGAAGAGAAACAAGACGAAGCAAAAGTGATTTCAATGACCAAACTTCCACTAACTATGATGAAGTGGGAATTTTCATCTTCAGCAACAACAACAACAACAGGTAGAATCAGCTAGCATGATGAATAAGGATATGAATGCATCCAGTCCACTCATCAGTTGCATATATCAAACCCAATCGCGCATGGCTTTACACACTTCTCTAAAAATTTATCTTGAAATTCGACCAAATTCACAAAAGGCACAACATAACGAACTTCTCACTCAGATAGCCAAAATTTAGTGAACAATAAGGATAATATGAGATAACATCTTTTAGCTTGGCTTAGTAAAAGTGATAATTTGACATACGCAGTGCAATATTGAGTGTAAAATGATGAAACATTAAATAAGAAGGCTCATATTTCTTCCAAATGTACCTGAAATTTGAGAACAGACGTGGAAGGAGTTGTGAAAAGCGCTTCCATTTTGGAAGTGATCGTAGCAATATGTTGTCAAGTTATGGTTGTTGTGATATTTACAGTGCAGGATTTATATCAACCACAAACCCGATACTGTTCATTTCAGCTGTCTAGAATACCAAACAAGTGATTCTCCTAGAATATGTTTGTGTTTATCTTATTTTTATTATTATTAATTTTTTTTCCCTCTAATGTATTCCCCCATTAATACCTATGTACATATAAAAGAAAAATAAAATAGACTTTAATGTAGAAATTAATTTCAGTTATTTAGTTTTATATTTTTAGTCATTGTTATCATTTCTAATTTTATTTTTTTGTTTGAATTTTTAATTATTTTTTATTGATAAATTTGCATGATTTTATATTTTAAAAATTTCTTACATCAGCAACTAAAACTGTATTTATTTGTTTATTTTAGTTGAAAAAACAATTTAAGTCATCAAATTTTATTATCATATCCATTAGTTATGATATTTTTTTATTAACCTTTTAAGTTTATAATGAATTTATTTATTTTTCTTAATATATATATATATCGTAATATATATATATATTACAATATTTCAAATCAATTTTTGATTGTTATTAATTATTAACTTAAAAAGGAATTTACTTTTAACTTTAAAATTAATATTTAAAACCATGAAAAAGAAAAGAAAATTAAACTAAACAATAAAGCATGAATTTTGTACAAATTCAATTGCAAGTTTATAAAATATTTCAAATATTTAAAATGGTAAAGCGACCTAATTTATATCGGATCACTTCAAACATAACTTAAATATTGTGAGAGGGAGCTCACCGATTAATAGAAGTGAGACGATAAACATGATTTACCTTATTTACTCTAAGAATAAATTATTTGTTTTATTAGTTCAGCAAATTAATTTGAATTCAATTTTATGCTAAATTGACTTGATTTTTTTTGCGACTAAATCGAATTGTTTGAATTGAATGATTTTTTTTTACAGTGATAGATACGAGAAAAAAAATCAGAGAATTTTTACCTTTTTATAAATATAATTCAGTTTTTATAGTTAAGTTTAATTTTTAATTACTTCTTTTTTATATAAAAAAAGTTATAGATTAATTAAGTTACAATTTTTTTTATAAGCTAAATAATTAAGATTAAAAATTGTATAAAGGTACTCCAACCCATTATAAAAATATCATATATGATATGTGTAGTATGTAACACTAAAAATATTACTCCAAACTAAATACGTGAGCTAGTCCATCTAAAAAATTACTACATATAAAATATAAAACAATTCAAATGACTTTTCAATAAAGTATTTTATATTTGCCTAATCTAATCCTTCATAATGTAATAACGTGATTGTCAAGTCTTTTGAATTAGATAAAAGAAAGTAAAAAGTTTAGATTGAGACAACAGCAACGCTAAAATCCAAATATATACATAAATAAAAGCAATAAAAACAATTAAAAGCTTGAATCAGAAACAATATTACCCTTCTGTTCCATAACAAGGGAAAACAACAATACCAAAATACAAAATATAGTCACAAATACATCCAACTCACAGTTTTGAAACAAAAACTGCAAAACTAGATTCCTCTGGGAGTCACATTTATCACCTGAATAATTAAGTTACGATTTAACTCATTTTTTAACACCCCTAAACGATTAATCATTTAAATCAAACAACACATGCATAAGTATTATCTACCTGTTTTATTATGTTTTATAAAAAAGTATTATCCATGTCGTTGTGTTCATATGCTTTTGAGGACTTTACAACTATACAAGACACAAATTTCTCTATATACATATATTGAGATAATTATATTAAAAATAAAATTTACAGAAAATTTTATTTAATGAAAATATTTTTAGACATGTTTTTTTTACTGAATTTGATCAGGTAAAGTTTTAAATTTGAATCTTATAAATTAAAAAATTATGTTGAGAGGAAAGACTTCTTTAAAGTTATTAACTTAGTTCCCTCCCCTAAAAAAAAAAAAAAAACTTAGTTCCCTGTGCACAACTATAAAAAATGTATCAAATTTATTTTTAAATTATGTTTTAATATTTTTATAATAAATTATCAATAGTTAAATATAATTTTATAATACACTATAAATTATATATATATATATATATATATATATATATATATATAGTGTTATATATATATATATATAGTGTTAAAAGATTAAAATAATATAAATATGGTCCTAAATTCATACTTTGACGTTTTGTTTTTGTAGTTCAATAAATAAATAAAATACATACCGATTGAAAAGCAAACATAAATTATTTTATCCTATCTGAGAATTTGTGGCCAAATCTGACACAACAACAAAAATTGTTTTTAACGACAATTATTTAATAGCAATAATTTAATTGCTGCTATTTAATTATATAAAAAAAATATTAATATTTAATATATAATAGCCACTAAAAGTGTATTTATATTACACTAAAATTTGCTATTAGTGACAATTATTTATTGAAAAAAATTAGTCTCACATTGATTAGAGATAAGATAATTAAATAGTATATAAGTGAGTAATAACTATCATTTTATAAGTTGATTTATAGGGTTGAGTTAGACTCTTAATTCACTATAATAAATTAGTATCAAATTACCACTATTTTTCACCTTATAAATCTCACATCTCTTAAGAGATAAGACAATTAAAAAAATAAATTAAAAAATATATAAATAGAAGACAACCTTCATCTTACACATCTCACATCGACTAGAGATAAAAAAAAAAGAGTATATAAGTTATGAATTTAGAAAGTCACTAAATGGATGGAAAGGAGACAATTGAAAAAATAACTTTTAATAGCCTTTAAAATGGCTACTAAAATTGCCACTAAAAAAAATAAGTTTTCCCGACAATTTAGTAGGTCTTTACCAACATTTTATATAAATGCTGGTAATAGTATTAGCGACACTAGATACACCAGCCATTATTTAAATGCTGGTAAAAAAAATAATGACCATTTATATGGTCACTAAAAAATAAATTAATTGCCACAAAAATTTAATTTTGGTGTAGCGTGAGAAAATGATTTGCAATTTTAATGCTTCCAAACAACTCCAATCCAGCTGAAGCTTCTTATATTTACCTACTAAGCTGGAAATTAATACAACTAAATAAATTGTCAAATCTAGCGATGCACAATTTTACAACTAATGACATCACAAGCTGACTTTTCTGAATAAACATGTGACTTGTGTTTCTTTCAAATCTGTCTATCTTCATTTTTCAACAGCTGTAATTGGATCAACAAACTGCAGAAAATTTTCCATATCTCTTCCCAAAAGAAGAAGGTCCTCCTCCAATTAAAACTCCAACCTATTTATCATCCATCCATTTCTATAAATTTGAAGAAAACAAAATCTTTATCAATGGAAAACAACAGCGAACCATACATTTTTCCCGTTGCTGTTATTTGTAAGTTATAGGGTTCAGGATCACCCTTTTTAATAATTTAAGATAGGTGATTCTAATACACTCCTTTTCGAAAAACTGTTTTATTAATTATATAAATTTATATATAAAATAATTTATAATTACAAAATTTAATAATATTAATAATTTTTATGTTAATAATTATAAAAACTGTTTTATTAATTATATAAATTTATATATAAAATAATTTATAATTACAAAATTTAATAATATTAATAATTTTTATGTTAATAATTATAAAAACTGTTTTATTAATTATATAAATTTATATATAAAATAATTTATAATTACAAAATTTAATAATATTAATAATTTTTATGTTAATAATTATAAAAACTGTTTTATTAATTATATAAATTTATATATAAAATAATTTATAATTACAAAATTTAATAATATTAATAATTTTTATGTTAATAATTATAAAAACTGTTTTATTAATTATATAAATTTATATATAAAATAATTTATAATTACAAAATTTAATAATATTAATAATTTTTATGTTAATAATTATAAAAACTGTTTTATTAATTATATAAATTTATATATAAAATAATTTATAATTACAAAATTTAATAATATTAATAATTTTTATGTTAATAATTATAAAAACTGTTTTATTAATTATATAAATTTATATATAAAATAATTTATAATTACAAAATTTAATAATATTAATAATTTTTATGTTAATAATTATAAAAACTGTTTTATTAATTATATAAATTTATATATAAAATAATTTATAATTACAAAATTTAATAATATTAATAATTTTTATGTTAATAATTATAAAAACTGTTTTATTAATTATATAAATTTATATATAAAATAATTTATAATTACAAAATTTAATAATATTAATAATTTTTATGTTAATAATTATAAAAACTGTTTTATTAATTATATAAATTTATATATAAAATAATTTATAATTACAAAATTTAATAATATTAATAATTTTTATGTTAATAATTATAAAAACTGTTTTATTAATTATATAAATTTATATATAAAATAATTTATAATTACAAAATTTAATAATATTAATAATTTTTATGTTAATAATTATAAAAACTGTTTTATTAATTATATAAATTTATATATAAAATAATTTATAATTACAAAATTTAATAATATTAATAATTTTTATGTTAATAATTATAAAAACTGTTTTATTAATTATATAAATTTATATATAAAATAATTTATAATTACAAAATTTAATAATATTAATAATTTTTATGTTAATAATTATAAAAACTGTTTTATTAATTATATAAATTTATATATAAAATAATTTATAATTACAAAATTTAATAATATTAATAATTTTTATGTTAATAATTATAAAAACTGTTTTATTAATTATATAAATTTATATATAAAATAATTTATAATTACAAAATTTAATAATATTAATAATTTTTATGTTAATAATTATAAAAACTGTTTTATTAATTATATAAATTTATATATAAAATAATTTATAATTACAAAATTTAATAATATTAATAATTTTTATGTTAATAATTATAAAAACTGTTTTATTAATTATATAAATTTATATATAAAATAATTTATAATTACAAAATTTAATAATATTAATAATTTTTATGTTAATAATTATAAAAACTGTTTTATTAATTATATAAATTT